CACCACTCATTGTATATGGTTTGTCTCCCACACTCATTGTATATGGTTTGTCTCCCACACTCATTGTATATGGTTTGTCTCCCACACTCATTGTATATGGTTGGTGTCTACCACACTCATTGTATATGGTTTGTCTCCCACACTCATTGTATATGGTTTGTCTCCCCCACTCATTGTATATGGTTTGTCTCCCCCACTCATTGTATATGGTTTGTCTCCCACACTCATTGTATATGGTTTGTCTCCCACACTCATTGTATATGGTTTGTCTCCCACACTCATTGTATATGGTTGGTGTCTACCACACTCATTGTATATGGTTTGTCTCCCCCACTCATTGTATATGGTTTGTCTCCCACACTCATTGTATATGGTTAGTGTCTCCCACACTCATTGTATATGGTTTGTCTCCCCCACTCATTGTATATGGTTTGTCTCCACCACTCATTGTATATGGTTTGTCTCCCACACTCATTGTATATGGTTTGTCTCCCACACTCATTGTATATGGTTTGTCTCCCCCACTCATTGTATATGGTTTGTCTCCCCCACTCATTGTATATGGTTAGTATCTCCTCCATTCATTGTATATGGTTTGTCTCCCCCACTCATTGTATATGGTTTGTCTCCCCCACTCATTGTATATGGTTTGTCTCCCCCACTCATTGTATATGGTTTGTCTCCCCCACTCATTGTATATGGTTTGTCTCCTCCACTCATTGTATATGGTTGGTGTCTCCACCACTCATTTAATATGGTTAGTGTCTCCCACACTCATTGTATATGGTTTGTCTCCCCCACTCATTGTATATGGTTAGTGTCTCCACCACTCATTGTATATGGTTTGTCTCCCACACTCATTGTATATGGTTAGTCTCCCACACTCATTGTATATGGTTTGTCTCCCACACTCATTGTATATGGTTTGTCTCCCCCACTCATTGTATATGGTTTGTCTCCCCCACTCATTGTATATGGTTTGTCTCCCACACTCATTGTATATGGTTTGTCTCCCACACTCATTGTATATGGTTTGTCTCCCACACTCATTGTATATGGTTTGTCTCCCACACTCATTGTATATGGTTTGTCTCCCCCACTCATTGTATATGGTTTGTCTCCCACACTCATTGTATATGGTTAGTGTCTCCCACACTCATTGTATATGGTTGGTGTCTACCACACTCATTGTATATGGTTTGTCTCCCCCACTCATTGTATATGGTTTGTCTCCCCCACTCATTGTATATGGTTTGTCTCCCACACTCATTGTATATGGTTTGTCTCCCCCACTCATTGTATATGGTTTGTCTCCCCCACTCATTGTATATGGTTTGTCTCCCACACTCATTGTATATGGTTTGTCTCCCACACTCATTGTATATGGTTTGTCTCCCACACTCATTGTATATGGTTTGTCTCCCCCACTCATTGTATATGGTTTGTCTCCCCCACTCATTGTATATGGTTTGTCTCCCACACTCATTGTATATGGTTAGTGTCTCCCACACTCATTGTATATGGTTTGTCTCCCACACTCATTGTATATGGTTAGTGTCTCCTCCATTCATTGTATATGGTTAGTGTCTCCTCCATTCATTGTATATGGTTAGTGTCTCCCACACTCATTGTATATGGTTTGTCTCCCACACTCATTGTATATGGTTTGTCTCCCCCACTCATTGTATATGGTTTGTCTCCCCCACTCATTGTATATGGTTTGTCTCCCACACTCATTGTATATGGTTAGTGTCTCCCACACTCATTGTATATGGTTTGTCTCCCACACTCATTGTATATGGTTGGTGTCTACCACACTCTTTAATTAGGTAGTATCCTCTGGGATTTCCTTACTTGTCCCCATTCTTTTTACAATTGATCTTTTGATCTTTTCTTTCAGTTGCTATCTCTGCACTTGGTTCTTCTTCCTTCCCCGTACATTAAGCTATATACATTTCCCTTTCTTCATTTTACAGTCATTGCTCTATCTTCCTAAATTAATCTTGCTTTCAATCCCCAAAATGTAATTACTATACTTAAATTTCTTCTTCCTATAAATTTGGTATTTTGTTTTTAATTGTACAGTTAGCTTTGTTGTTAGAAGGAACAGTATATTTGTGCTCCCAAAATACTCATTATCGGGAAAAAATACGGTGGTAAGAACACCCCAGGGGATTTGTGACAGGAGGAAGCTGTAAGTTGTTTGTACCATAAGGAACAAGGAAATGGGAATGTTTACTCAGGTAAAGTAGAATCACCTGGTTAGATTAGACATAAACACCAAGGTGTATCAGACACACCTGTGTAGATGGAAGCCAGAAATGAGAAGTTTGTAATGATGGTTAGAGAGACAATACCAGGCCTGTGATGTCATTACTGACACAACAGAGTGACTGTTGATGAGGGGTGCTGGGACTGGTGATTTGTGGGAGCGTGTGTTTACACATTTACAGTGTGAGATGGGTGTGTGTCACTATGTGTTGGGCTGTATAATTAACACTAGGTATCATCAGCTGTAGATCACAGTAACAGGACACACACACAGAGAATGTGGCGGAGAATGTGCTGGCGGAATTACATTACTGAAATGTATTTCTTATGATAGAAGGAATATATAGTGAAAAAAAAACCCTCACTATATCATGATGTTGTCATCACTGGAAAGCTTGATTTTATGACTAGGCACGTTTGATTCCGTGAGATGAGGATGCACTGAAAGGTTGGTGATAGGTCAGGAAATTTTAACTGAGGTGTTGATGGTAATACAATATATCTTCATTGTTGTGTCTTTGTGAATGTATATATATCAGCTTCGTCCGTAGGATATATATTACACTGTTATTCATGTAAAGTATAGTAGGGAAAATTCTGTCCATGGGTACCTCATGCCTTGGCAGGACCTACTGTTGAGAGTGAGGTCTGTCTGGTTGGGATGTACCAATAACAAGCCTCGGAGAAGAATCTAGTGAGATGAATGTCCGGAGTCTGTCAGTGTTTATAAAGTCTGTATTAAGTTGTATTCACCATGACAATACACAACCGAGGATCCGGTAAGATAGAGGGGAGAGTTAAGCTGCTAACCATGTGTAGTTTGAGTAGCTGTTAGTGTTAACATTTTCTCTTTTCTCCTATTATTTGTAGTGATTACCTTCATTTTCTTTATCTTACTCCCTCACTCACTTAGGTCACCTATCAGTCCTGTCCTATTCTTTACCTATTTTACATACATATAACAATATCAAAGGATTTTGATATACATTTTGTTCTCACCTCAGTACTCCAGTTTCCTCCCATCAGTAGAACCCTTCTCCAGTTTAGTTCTGGCAGACAAGAGTGGTTAATATAAGCTGGTAGCTTGTTTCACAAAAATTGTAAAAATTATAATATAGATTACAGGTATGTGAATCCTGTTTATCATCATATAAGATTAAGTTGTAAATATATAGTATGGTAATGTAATATCAGTTTCAGTGTACTTTAATTTGTTGTACATGATTGTGCAATATTGAACACTTTTACAATGTAATTCATATCAGCAATTTTTGTAGAATTCTTTCTTGTGAATTCCTACCACAATATCTAACATTTTGATGAGTTCTGTTACAAAGAATTATAATCGATTCACAAAATTTGTACATAATTTTACATGTGTAACATAGTTAATCCCCAGTGTAGTTAAAGCAGTTGTGGCACATCATTGTACAAGTGTAACATGGTTAAACTCATGTGTAGTTATAGCAGTTAGTGGTTTATCATTGTACATGTGTAACATGGTTAAACTCATGTGTAGTTATAGCAGTTAGTGGTTTATCATTGTACATGTGTAACATGGTTAAACTTCTGTGTAGTTATATCAGTTAGTGGTACATCATTTCACATGTTTAACATGGTTAAACTCTGGTGTAGTTGTAGCAGTTAGTAGTACATCATTATGTGTAACATGGTTAAACCTCAGTGTAGTTATATCAGTCAGTGGCACATCATTGTACATGTGTAACATGGTTAAACCTCAGTGTAGTTGTAGCAGTTAGTGGTACATTATTGTACATGTTAAACATGGTTAATCCTCTATGTAGTTAAAGCAGTTAGTGATACATCATTGTACATGTTTAACATAATTAAACCTCTGTGTAGTTATAGTAGTTAGTGATACATCATTGTACATGTTTAACATGGTTAAACCTCTGTGTAGTTATAGTATTTAGTGGTACATTTATTGTACATGTGTGTCATGGTGAAACCTCAGTGTAGTTATATCAGTTAGTGGCACATCATTGTACATGTGTAACATGGTTAAACCTCAGTGTAGTTGTAGCAGTTAGTGGTACATTATTGTACATGTTAAACATGGTTAATCCTCTATGTAGTTAAAGCAGTAAGTGATACATCATTGTATATGTTTAACATGGTTAAACCTCAGTGTAGTTATAGTAGTTAGTGGTACAGCATTGTACATGTTAAACATGGTTAAACCTTTGTGTAGTTATAGTAGTTAGTGGTACATCATTGTACATGTGTAACATGGTTAAACCTCAGTGTAGTTATAGTAGTTAGTGGTACAGCATTGTACATGTTAAACATGGTTAAACCTTTGTGTAGTTATAGCAGTTAGTGGTACATTAATTGTACATGTGTTATATGGTTAAACCTCAGTGTAGTTATAGCAGTTAGTGGTACAGCATTGTACATGTTAAACATGGTTAAACCTTTGTGTAGTTATAGCAGTTAGTGGTACATTAATTGTACATGTGTTACATGGTTAAACCTCAGTGTAGTTATAGTAGTTGGTGGTACAGCGTTGTACATGTTAAACATGGTTAAACCTTTTTGTAGTCATAGTAGTTAGTGGTACATTTATTGTACATGTGTAACATGGTTAAACCTCAGTGTAGTTATAGCAGTTAGTGGTACATCATTGTACATGTGTAATATGGATGATTCAGTTGTCACAGTTTCAGATTTAAGATTCTGTTTTAATGCTGTCTTGATCTTGTTGACAGAAGTGGAAGCGACGTTTCTTCGTATTGTTCAAGCCAGCAAGTAGCCTTCCTCACCAGTACCTCCTCAATTACTACACAGATGAGCACTGTAAGAAACTCAAGGGATGTATAGACCTTGAGCATTGTGAGCAAGTGATTGAATCTCTCGACCTTGACATATTTCCCTTTCTCCTGGCATTAAAGACTTTCCACAAGGGCAGGGAACGGACTTACTTTTTGTCTACGGATACAGAAGATGAGATGACCACTTGGGTCCGCAACTTGTGTAGTGTTTGTGGCCTCAAGCCAGAGGAGAGTAAGTACATGACATCTGTCTCAATATAACTAAACAGGATCTTTGAATTTTCCCACAGAAGCGAACAGGATGTTGCAAAATATAATGCTGTCATGATATGTTAACATTAGAGATCGATGGATAAAAATATTTGTTATTTGTAAATTTGTACTGGCAAGCAAGCTGTGATGTTGTCTACATGTTTTTCAGGTCCAGATTTGCCCCCAGAAAAACCAGACCATGACAGTAGCAGTGCCATGGCAGCACCTGTGGCTGTGGTGCCACCCCGTCCACATAGGTCCCAGACAATGATATCCCAGCCACAGTCAGATCTGGTGAAGATGAGAGGACGATCTATTGGAAGAACTAACTCTAAATCTGGTTCTCACTATATACCACTCTCAGATTGCCTTAGTGAAAAGTCTCGACGTTCCAGCATACCGGACGAGGTGGCGCCTCCACCTCCACAGAAAGCTCCTAAGGCTCCTGCCCCTCTCCCAGAGGGGGATGACAATGTGTTTCAACAACCTTATGACACACCCAAACAGCGTGTCATAGAGGATGACTCTGACTCTGCATTTGTGTACAAAGTGCCTCCACCACGGAGAGAGGAAGGGTCCACCCTGGAGGTGTATGACATCCCACCTCCAGCACGTCAGTCCCCAAGTACTCCTCGTTCCTCCAGCAGTGAAAGCCAGAAGGACTCTGCATATTCCTCCCAATCTGCCTTGACAGGCCTCACCTATGACTACCCCCCTTCCCACCCTGACCGGGGGCCTGTATCTGATGAAGTGTATGACTTCCCACCGCCCAACCCACAGATGATACACTCTCAGTCAGACGTGCCCCCTCCTCGACCACCCAAAGCCTCTACTCTGAACCAAGAGCCCTATCAGAACTTGCCCTCCAACAGTGTTGTTGTAAAGGAACACACACAAACCAGTATGGATTTAAATGTTGTTGTACCACCCACAATGTCAGATGGAGCCCCAGTGGGTCAGAGTTATGATGTACCACGGGCACAGAATGCTGTTCGCAACCTGTCTCTTTATGACATGCCAAAACCACAACAGAATGGTGTACCCAAAAAAGACTCAAGTCTATTGGCTATTCCCCCTCCTCCACATTCTTCTTCTGGCATGTCATCCCATAGTTATATCAATGCTGGCCGTAGCTATGTTCCCATCCAGAAAGACAAAGTGGAGGATGCCTACCTGCCTATGGAGCGTGCCTTCCCTCCAAGTGACTCTTTAGACCATAGTGCATACTCTGACATGTCACGAATACCCACGTCTCCAGTGAATATGAATTATACAGACATGTCAGCATTGTCGCCAGATTATGATACTCCACCCAAACCTGGCCTCCCTCCAAGGATATCCCCTCGGACTAACAATGACCACGCCCATGAAGGGATGACACGGACAGGTCAGTATAATCATATACATGAACAGAGAGAAAGATCTCCTGTGTTTTAAACTCAAATTCTGTCTCACGGCTTAGTAGAACATGTGTTACATATTACTCTTAATTATTTCCTGAATAACAGAAATCTTTGTTATTTTTTTTAGCAACTTTTTTTAAATAAATTTTTGCCTTGATTTAAATGTTATAGTATGATACTTTGATATTAAGAAAATAAAACAATATAATGTGAAAATTTCATTTGATTTAACAAGATTAAAACTGCATATCAAGATATAAAAAAGAAACTTTGAAATATAACTGAAATTCATTATTTGACCATCATTTAGTTTTAACTTTATTAAAGACCTCATTCTTCGGCAGAGAAATTTTCAAGAACAGTTTTCATGATTTGATAAAAAGGGGTGGTCTCTGTGCTTTAATTTTTGTAATTTTCACCCAAATAGCCAGTTTTCCAAGATCAAGAAACAAATGGAAATATTAACTTTTGGGTCCTAAAGTTCAGATAAAAATGTGCACCAAGGCAGAATTATGATTTGGTTGGTGGTAGTAATTCCTGCAAAATTAAATCTACCAAAGATTTCCGGAGTTATACTCAAGAGAAGTACCTTAGCAAGCAGAAAATATTGAAATTGTTAAGTTTATTTATCATATCACACAATTAATTACACCATCTGATTGTTGATAGTTGTGTCCCAGAACTTAGCAACTGTCTGGCAGTTATGTCCCCTTTCTTAGTTACAATGTGACAGTTATGTCCCTTCCCTAGTAATTGTCAGCTGAATATATGGTGCTATTTTTTCCAGTATTAATAGCACCAGTTCAGCCCTAAATATGCCCAGTAAAACTGTTTAATTTAGGTGATTGTGATAGTTTACCTTTCAAATATGCTACTTTTCTTTTCAAATGATTATGAATTATGAAAAAGCCACTCCTTGATTTACAGTATGATGGAATGTGGTTCATAAATACCTGACATGCAGTCAACAGATGGACAAAGACTGTTTTGAATTAACATAAATTTTATCACGTTACCCTGTGAGATATTTGGTTTTTTTTTTAATATGTTTAATTGACACTACTTCTGCTTAGTTTTGTAAATATGTATTGTTTACATCATCATTCACCAAAATATTTAAATTCCAGACAAATAAAAATTATCTGTAAGGAAGCAGATTTCCTGTTTGGTTCATTAAGATATAGACTCACTGACTCAAATCAGTCTCTATCAAACCCAAACTTTCAGTGTATGGTTGTTGGTATTTGCTTCGGTATTTAATATTCTTGAATGTTTTTGCTGTTTCAGAAGGTGACACCTACACAATATTTAGTAATGCGCGAACACGCAGCTTCAAGCGTAACAACTGTATCGACCACAGGTAAACACAGCACAGCCTGCTTGTTCTGTAGCTAGAGCTCACAGCCCACTCCTACTGTCTTGTATGCCTACAGGTGTTGATGTATATATGTTACCTGGATGGGATTTTAGGATATTAGCTAGGATGTATTGGTTCTGACTTACTTAATCTATGAATCTAAACACCTAATATTTGATATAAGCTATGATTTTATTGATTTAGACTTGGATATGTCATCTTTTCACCCAACCGTTTAGGATATAAGCTATGATGAACTTGTCATCTTCAGGATACATCATTTATTCACCCAACTATTTTGTTTTGACCTGCAGATACATCATTTATTCAATCCACCAATTAGGATATAAGCTATGATGTTAATACGTACACATAGTAATGTTATCATTATTTTTCATTGGATGAACACTAATTGATTATTATGAATATAAACACGAAATCATTATTTTATCATTTTGTTGTAATTTAGAGAATAAGATTAAATGAAGACCAGATGGTATATTTATGCAGATGAACCTCTAGTTTTGTTGTAAATTTTGTAGTATATTATAGATGTAACATATATTTCAGCTTTCACTTTTTTATTTTTTTTTGTCTTTTAAGACAGCGTTTCACTGGTTCACCAGTATTAAGATTACCAAGACCAAACAGCCCTGATGAGCTTATGCTGTGGTGCATTATGCCTTGTCTGTTCATTTTTAAGTCTAGTCCATACAACTTGTTAGTGGGTTCAAACCTGGCTAACAGTTCCTCCTTACTCAAAGATGTCATTAATAGATCAGAAAAAACTGTACTTGGAATGCGCTTGAGACATCCTCAGGAATCCTCTCAGTTAATGTCCTGGTCTGGTTGTTGTTATTAGATAGATAGATAAATGATCTATTGGTTTATGTTGTCAGTGGCAGAGTAGATGCTCCTACAACGCTTCGAGTCCAGTTGCCCTACATGTCAAATAACCGTCACCCAGATTTTTCGACTAGTTCAGAAGAAGAAGATGAGCCAGTACTAGGGGACCCTTCCCAAGTAATGATGCCTTATAGTGTTCTGACTGGCCAAGGAGGACATGTATGTATACTTATATAGGATGTATACTTATAGGATAAACAGGACATATACCCACACTGTATACAGGACATGTACCCACACTGTATACAGGTCATATACCCACACTGTGTACAGGACATGTACCCACACTGTATACAGGACATGTACCACACTGTATACAGGACATGTACCCACACTATATACAGGTCATATACCCACACTGTATACAGGACATGTACCCTCATTATATACAGGTCATATACCCACAATGTATACAGGACATGTACCCTCATTATATACAGGTCATATACCCACAATGTATACAGGACATGTACCCTCATTATATACAGGTCATATACCCACAATGTATACAGGACATGTACCCTCATTATATACAGGTCATATACCCACAATGTATACAGGACATGTACCCACACTATATACAGGACATGTACCACACTGTATACAGGACATGTACCCTCATTATATACAGGTCATATACCCACAATGTATACAGGACATGTACCACACTGTATACAGGACATGTACCCTCATTATATACAGGTCATATACCCACACTATATACAGGACATGTACCACACTGTATACAGGACATGTACCCACACTGTATACAGGACATATACCCACACTGTATACAGGACATGTACCCACACTGTATACAGGACATGTACCCACACTATATACAGGTCATATACCCACACTGTATACAGGACATGTACCCACACTGTATACAGGACATGTACCCACGCTGTATACAGGTCATGTACCCACACTGTATGTATACAGGACATGTACCCACACTGTATACAGGACATGTACCCACACTGTATACATGATGTACCACATTTAACACTAGATATGTAAATGTCACACTACACAGTATCATATAACACAATGTTTTACCTTTTGTGTGAATTTTTGTCTTGTGTTTAGTATTGAGAATCCAATTTGTTATTAAATGCTTTTTATTTCCTTTAATAGTACATAAAATGAAATGAAATAAATATCTTTATTTTCTCTTAACATGTCAAGATCAATGCAACAAAATAACACTTTAGAAATTAAACCATACCATGCACAATAATTTGGCTGTTTGTCGTTAAACTGTTACACTGAAGTTTTGCTTAAAGAGTTATGTATTTTGTCTTGGGATCTTTTAAAAGCTTCTGCCTTATTTAGATTTGTAATTCTAGAACTTCTTAGGATTTTTTTAATATCTTATCTGATGTATTGCAGAGTTCAAGTCTGTGGAGCAGTACACCCCCGGCACCAAAGCAACAAGAGGCAGAGCTTCAATACCTTGACCTCGCTCTCGATGACACATCAGACAAGGAAGCCATGCGATCACCGCACAGCCACACCGGACATTCCACACCCACAGAGTACCGTGAGATAGACTTTGTGAAAACACAGGCACTAAGTGATGTCAAAAAGACTGTTGACAATCAGCGTAAACATGATGACCAATGACCTCTGCCTGTAACCTCTGGTGTAACGGCAAGAGGACTTTTAAACTGAGGGATTATGCTGTTTATGTTTCAGAGAGGATGAAATCAGAACTGTTACACTTGTGTTGGCTAATTCTGTTTTGTGTCATTATGAAACTGTTATGCTTTCTACATGATGATGCTGGCTAATTATTGACTGATGGGCAGTCAAAGAAGGTTCTCTCTGTTGCACACTCATCAGTGTTATCAAATATCAGAAAGTGTTCTTTGATGTCAGATGCAGGTTTATACTAATACTCACCAGACTAGAAAACACTGGTACCTGTATCAGAGTGTTTCACACTGCATAAAAAGAGGATAATACCAGTGTATTTACATATAAAGTGCAGGATTCCTACTTCACAATACAGTCTAGTTACAAGTGTATTTACATGTAAAGTGTGGGGTATCTATTTCACAATACAGTCTAGTTACAAGTGTATTTACATGTAAACTGTGGGGTTCCTACTCCAGTCTAGTTACAAGTGTATTTACATGTAAACTGTGGGGTTCCTACTCCAGTCTAGTTACAAGTGTATTTACATGTAAACTGTGGGGTTCCTACTCCAGTCTAGTTACAAGTGTATTTACATGTAAACTGTGGGGTTCCTACTCCAGTCTAGTTACAAGTGTATTTACATGTAAACTGTGGGGTTCCTACTCCAGTCTAGTTACAAGTGTATTTACATGTAAACTGTGGGGTTCCTACTCCAGTCTAGTTACAAGTGTATTTACATGTAAAGTGCGGGGTTCCTACTCCACAATACAGTCTAGTTACAAGTGTATTTACATGTAAAGTGAGGGGTATCTACTTCACAATACAGTCTAGTAACAAGTGTATTTACATATAAAGTGCAGGGCTCCTACTCAACAATACGATGTAGTTACCGGTGTATTTACATATAAAGTGCAGGGCTCCTACTCAACAATACGATGTAGTTACCAGTGTATTTACATATAAAGTGCGGGGTTCCTTCTCAACAATACAGTCTAGTAACAAGTGTATTTACATATAAAGTGCAGGGCTCCTACTCCAGTCTAGTTACAAGTGTATTTACATATAAAGTGCGGGGTTCCTACTCAACAATACAGTCTAGTAACAAGTGTATTTACATGTAAACTGAGGGATATCTACTTCACAATACAGTGTAGTTACCAGTGTATTTACATGTAAAGTGCGGGGTTCCTACTCCACAATACAGTCTAGTTACAAGTGTATTTACATGTAAAGTGCGGGGTTCCTACTCAACAATACGATGTAGTTACCAGTGTATTTACATGTAAAGTGCAGGATTCCTACTTCACAATACAGTCTAGTTACAAGTGTATTTATATGTAAAGTGCGGGGTTCCTACTCCAGTCTAGTTACAAGTGTATTTACATATAAAGTGTGGGGTTCCTACTCCAGTCTAGTTACAAGTGTATTTACATGTAAAGTGCAGGGTTCCTACTCCAGTCTAGTTACAAGTGTATTTACATGTAAAGTGCGGGGTTCCTACTCCACAATACAGTCTAGTTACAAGTGTATTTACATGTAAAGTGCGGGGTATCTACTTCACAATACAGTCTAGTTACAAGCGTATTTACATATAAAGTGCGGGGTATCTACTTCAAAACACAGTCTAGTTACAAGTGTATTTACATATAAAGTGCAGGGCTCCTACTCCACAATACAGTCTAGTTACAAGTGTATTTACATATAAAGTGCAGGGCTCCTACTCCACAATACAGTCTAGTTACAAGTGTATTTACATGTAAAGTGCGGGGTTCCTACTCCACAATACAGTCTAGTTACAAGTGTATTTACATGTAAAGTGCAGGGCTCCTACTCCACAATACAGTCTAGTTACAAGTGTATTTACATGTAAAGTGCGGGGTTCCTACTCCACAATACAGTCTAGTTACAAGTGTATTTACATGTAAAGTGCGGGGTCCACAATACAGTCTAGTTACAAGTGTATTTACAATACAGTCTAGTTACAAGTGTATTTACATGTAAAGTGCAGGGCTCCTACTCCACAATACAGTCTAGTTACAAGTGTATTTACATGTAAAGTGCGGGGTTCCTACTCCACAATACAGTCTAGTTACAAGTGTATTTACATGTAAAGTGAGGGGTATCTACTTCACAATACAGTCTAGTTACAAGTGTATTTACATATAAAGTGCAGGGCTCCTACTCCACAATACAGTCTAGTTACAAGTGTATTTACATGTAAAGTGCGGGGTTCCTACTCCACAATACAGTCTAGTTACAAGTGTATTTACATGTAAAGTGAGGGGTATCTACTTCACAATACAGTCTAGTTACAAGTGTATTTACATGTAAACTGTGGGGTTCCTACTCCACAATACAGTCTAGTTACAAGTGTATTTACATGTGAAGTGAGGGATTCCTACTCAAGAATAAAGACATCAACATGTCACAAACTTTATCACAAATATGTCATCCACCATTTCAGAAACAGGAAAGATGTATGTTCCAAACAAGTCACAATTCAGCTCCAACTTAGTCATATTTCAGGGTTATCATTGATGTTCATTTGTGTTATAAACTTTGAACAGTAAGGGGCCATAACTTTCCTCCCACACGATGAATTCTAGTAACTGATAATTCAATTCCCTCTGATGTTGTGTGTGTGAATTATATCACTAATTTGTAAATTAGAAATGTCACAATTATGGATGATAGATTATATGTTAACCACCTCTGTTTTATATTCCATATAGTATTCAGTTCATTAATATATATATCATGTTGTATTGAAATTATATTCCCAAGGAACGGCTTTCAATACAGAAACAATAAACAAATGAAACGTTCTCGATTACACTTCAAAGTTCTAGACTCAAAGAAAGTTGTTTCAAATTATCTGTATCTCTGATTATGGGAAAATTGATGAGTGAATATTGAATTTTCTGATTTTGGGGAAAACGGATTTAAGAATATTGAATTTTATAATCAGAAAATGTGCTACTGTTCAAATGCAGCATACCAAGGTCATCTCCAAGGTTCTAAGGTATTGCACCTGATTATGTTCACCGAGGGAGTTATCGGTGACTGCGGTATGCTTCATCAGTGGATAATATACATACTGAATGTGATCACTATGGTAACTAGGTGATACCTCTAATCACTTGATCATGTGTCCACTTAGCTCTAAACTGCTGGATTTTCTGTCAAATTATTGAGGTGACATGTTGATACTGCTTGCTATAGAGGACATCTTGTAAAAACATGTTACGAATGTCCTAAATTAGAGTGTGTAATTCCATTTCTACAATGAATTCCCAATCAGAATCATACTAATAGTGCAATAATTCAGTATTAGTTACAAATTTTTAAATCTTTCATCAATTTGGGTATCACTTGTTTTTTGATTCCCTTCAAATTATGTCAAATTTTGTGCCAATTATACAGGTGTCACTTACAAATTGTTTTTGTCACATTTTGTCATCATCATTCATTGTGTATCTTATTTAGCTTTCACATTGTACCATGCAAAATGCTTGGACTTTAAACATTTGAATATAAGATATAATATAATGCCACCAAGTTATTGCAGTATAGTTAAAAAAAATTCTAGATTTTGGAAACAAAAATAAATTTTTGAAAACTCTGGACATATATGTATGTTGTTCTACCAGCACTAACTACATAGGACCTCAAGAGAGACGGATTCCTTGGCAAGGGAAATAACTCTAACCTAGATTTTTATGACAGAAAATTTTTAACAAAGCATTTTGAAAATTATTAGAATATGTTTGATGCTTTCAGTGATACATAAATGATAATATGTTTTTAAAAAAGGTACGTAAATGTACAAATCTCAAATTAATAGGAAACATTTTGTATGTCATTTCAAACACGACGATGAAACGTTTTAAATAGGAATGTGACATCCTAAGTTTTGTGCTGAAACATCTAGATTAAAACTTTATGTTGATATAATTGTAGAATTAAGTTGGTGATCAATATTGAGATCTTTTTATAGATGTGTTCTTCAATTACATGTTTTATTGTTGATATTGTTTTAATAGCTAATCATTGTAGCGGACGTTTTATTTTAGAAGAAATGAATATTTGTTTTTATCGGCTTTAAATTGATCAAATTTCTATTTACTTTTATTCCATGGAACAGAGACTCTACCTATGTGTTACACGAATAACAAAAAAACTGCAGCTGTTAGATCAGGACCTGAATTGAGTTTTTGTGGCAGAAATGTTGATATCATACATCAGGAAATATTAGGTTTCTTTATGCGATAAGAAATTGGACATGTTGGATGTTCATTAGGATGTCTGGCAGTTCTGTTTTTGTTACCATGTTCTTTGTGAACATGACATTTCTTACTTCGGCTAAATCAAGAAGAGGTATTTGATCAATGTTAAGTTGTTAGGTATGCTAAAAGAATATTTGTCATACTTTGGCCTTTTGTCCACATAGGTGAACAGAAAGTCCTCATGATTCCGTCTGTAGTTTACTTAAGGAAGAGATATTCCTGTCATGCTTCAGCCTGTATTTGGTTAAAGGAAGAGGTAGGCTTTTCATATATCAATCTTTAGCTGACCATAAGAAGAAATTGTAGTCGTGTCATATTTCAATCTGTAGCTGACCAAAGGAAGAGAGTCTTGTTCTACTTCAATCTGTCGTTGACTTCTCTTTTTTTTAATTCAAATAGTAATTAATATTCCCTGCCTTTTGGTGAGGATTTCTTTGAGCAGGATCATTTTCTTTGATTTTTGTGTGAACCTTTGAAATATTAGTAACTATTATACATATTCCCGTTATCGCTAACTTGATTATTGAATGTGGGTGGAAATATTGATGGAACTGCTAATGCTGACATATACTGTATACTCTTATTATACGTGTGGGGCACGCACTGTATTCAAACTAATTCCTTACTAATAACTTATTTTTTTATCTGTTACTGTAAATATATTGTATTGCCATGTCATTTATTAGGAGATCTGTGCATCTTTTTAAAGCTATTTTTTGTTATATTTATTTTTTATCAAAATTGTTTCTTCTATTTACCAAATAAGGGTGTATGAATTAAGGTCAATGTAATTTTGTGGATTTGAATTAGAAATGTAAACCAAGCCCCTCCAGAAGACCTTGGCTGTTTATGGGGAGATCAAAAACCCAGGAAATAAACTCTTGAAGAAATCTATGTTGTATGATGTAACCAAACTGGAATCTGAAATGTCTTCCTCAATGCCAAGATAACTGATAGCTTAGATGACACTTTGCAGCAAATGATGCTGACAATATGCTGATGTTGAAAATATATTTGTATTTTATGACTAAAGAAAGCATGGTTTTACCCAAAGGTAGCCTTAGAAACCATACAACTGGATTTATATGGATTTCCACCAATAGAACGTGTGATAAGACTTTGAAATATTGGTTTCCTTGTTATTTTCCCAAGGAAATTAGAAAGCTTACTCCTCCCTCCAGTTCGGATTTTACAACAATTTATAAGTTATTATAATCTAAGTGTGAGCTGTCACAAAGTTTGTAAAATTAACCAATTCAGCCAAAACAGCACTTATGTATAAATATTTATCAGTCATGACACATGTCGTGTAACGGATTTGAATTTTTCTATATCATATGTAATGGCACTTTGTACAAAATGGCAAGTATATTGTATTAGTGCTGCTGGTTATAAAACCAGATGTCTTTATAATCATGTCTACATCATGTATACAGTGTGGTTATAGCTGCTAATGATGTCACTGTCTTGTGATAATGTAATGATGCCATAGAGGATGTGGTTAGTCTATATGTCAATTGTACATGACCTGTCCATTGTTATCAAAACATTGATTCAATCTGGTCAATATTTCCACTGATCAGATGACCTTTTTAGATCTGAATGTAAAATCCTCTGATCAGGGAAAGACATTTTGGATCTAAACTTTATGTTCCCTGGAGAGAGTCCCTGTTGACCTACAAAATAAATGACGAAATGTTTAACAAGTATTTGTGTTTTCTGTTTTTGATTTGGCTGCTGTTCGTATACGTGTATCAGTCCAGTTTATTTGGGGTGCCAAAGAAAACAAGTACTTATTGTCACCGTTCTTATTTTATTGATAGATGTCAGCAACATAACCGTGTTGTACATACCGCTTCACTAACATTTATAATGTATGTAGTGTCACACAGTGTCCAAATCAGCTGGACTTCAGACAAGCTACACAAACCACAGATTCTATTTGGTTCCTGTTAAAAGATGAATTAAATACCTTTACACTTTACAATGACCTATTTACTGGATTTCAACATACAACACTTACCATAGGTCATCAAGTACAAGTATTCATCCACCACAGGTCACAGAATACAAGTTCAAACATACTACAGGTGACTTAGTACATGTTTACACCTTAGGTCACCAAATACAAGTTTACCTGTACCACAGGTCATCAAGTACAAGTTTACACATAACATAGGTCACCAAGTACAAGTTTACCTGTACCACAGGTCATCAAGTACAAGTTTACCTGTACCACAGGTCACCAAGTCCAAGTACAAGTTTACCTGTACCACAGGTCATCAAGTATAAGTTTACACATAACATAGGTCACCAAGTACATGTTAACTTGTTCCATGGGTCATTGATAACAAGTTACACAAAAGGTCACCAGGTGCATGTTTACACACACCACAGGTAACCAAGTGCTGGTTTACCTATGCTACAGGTCACAGAGTACAAGGTTAAACACACCATAGGTCACCAAATATAAGTTTACACATTCTACAGGTCATCAAGTGCAAGTTTGCACATACCACACGTCCCCAAAAATAGGTTTACCTGTAGCATAGGTCACCAAAAGCAAGTTTACCTGTAACACAGGTCACAAAGTACAAGGTAAGACATACCATACTTTAGGTCACCAAGTACAGGTTTACTTACATCACAAGTCATTGAGTACAAGTTTACACATACCACAGGTCACTGGGTACAAGTTTACACATACCACATGTCACTGGGTACAAGTTTACAAATACCACAGGTCACTGGGTACAAGTTTACAAATACCACAGGTCACTGGGTACAAGTTTACACATATAACAGGTCATCAAGTGCAGGTTTACCTGTACCACAGGTCACCGAGTACACTTTTACATGTTAGGTACACAGTTACACTGAGTACAGGTAGTTGTGTTAAAAGTTAATGCATAACTACAAGTAACAAACACAACGACAAGTTAACAAGCAAATGTCATTAGGACCAGTTATGTAACATTAAACCACTCAAAGTTCTATTTATGGAAAATGGAATTCTACAACCGATCCTAAGTTAAGATACATATTAACAATTCAAATATTTTCAAGTGGGACACCGACACACTCAGTCCAACAAAAAGCACCAGCAGATGAAGTGATCTATGTGTGTATATATACAGCATGGTTTTAGTCTCGCCTGCAGGAACATCAATCAATAATTATATACAATGAGATGTTGCCACAAGTTTTAAGCTCAAATCAACCCAACTCTGGTGAATAATACAAATATGATTCACAGACAAGAACTAACAGTTTGGAGTGGCATATCACGACCAAATAATTTTGTCTTCATCTTCAGTGATATTCACTGCTGTCTGTCACCAAATCACAGATATGACGTGACACATGACTGATGTTTATCCAGAGTGATGGTCTGAAATCATCGCTAAAACAAACGTTTAACCAGCGACTGAAACTAGACCCGTTGAAAATCATAAAGAGTGTGAATACATCCAATTTACATGACAGTATATAGGGCACCTCTATTTCATATGTTTTATTTAGAGGAGGGGAAGAGTAGTGGGGGGAAGGGGGGGGGGGCAGTGTTAACTTGCAAATCTCGATAGATTTATTCAAAAATTGAACAAATAGCACATGATAAGCATTCTCTTAATCTAAATTTATTTTGAGAAAATCTTGTAGGATCAACAGATTGTTAATATGGGGTCCATGAAAAGGGAGAAATGAAAGTGCGTCATTGAATCTAAGCCGTCATTTTGGAGATTTACCTATCACTGGCAAACACTACAAACCATTAGCCACAAAATCAACTCTACTGGGCACAAGTCAGCATCATTGCCAAAAAAAAAAAATTCCCTCATTAAGAAAGTGGAAGAATTCAGGCTGATCAAACAGTGTTGGCTATGTTCCTGAACAAGAACAAGAGACTGAACATTTACATGATAACTAATGCCAGCCAGCAGTGAACAACATTGATACAGATTAATTGTTCGGTTGTAATATTACTAGATTAGAATGATTTTCTCTTGTACAGGAAGTCAGACATACACTGAGCTGTTGATTCAGTACAAAAAGTAAGATGTTTGACACTACGACAACCTCAAGCAGTCATGACACATAGAGAACAATGCACTGATATTAAGGTGGCCGCAGACCCCAAAATGTTTTAGACTTCAACTCACCACTTCTTTCTAAGTCATTAAGATTAACACAAGCTGATAACTTGGTTTGTAATTATTGTCAAAGCATATAGTTTAGTATGATGGTTCTGACCATAATTACACAATCAGTAAATACTACTGTGATTATTGTTCATATATTTATCCTGCGACAGCACTACAATTGTTAGACTACATCTGCCACATAGTTTTGCTGGAGTCGGTAATGCCGGAAAATAGCTGTTATTTAGCGTGTACATTAATTTGACAATCTTACTCTCTAAATTTACTTTAAAATTAAATGAAAGTATAATAACTATTTATGTATGTTGTAAAAAACAAACCTATTTTCAAAAGTTCACAAAATGTTTTGAACCACTCTTATATGTTTCCATGCAGAGCAATTATTTTGCTGTACGTCATAAAACAAAACTCCACATAATTTCAACATCAGGTTATCCAATAAACTGTCTACATTTTGACAGCCTGAATTTTCGATGCATGTTGCAGGATAAATAGAATACATGAAGAGTGTCTTGAAATATAAGTTGCATTTTGGCTTGGCACAAAAAGACAAAAGTTTTTTGCCAGGGACTCGCCACTCTTAACCCTTGCAAAAATATATTTCAAGACACTGACCATGTATTCTTTATTTTCAAAAAACTTACAAAATTAATGATTAAGTTTATAGCTGAGTTGTTTGTTGTTATCATCATTTATAATATTCTGTGTGGGGTGAAAACATCCAACAAACAAGTCTGCTTTTTGTATTTATAGTATATACACTTTAATGTATGTAAGCTAACATAAATGGGGGAGATGTAACTAGATAATTTCATTAATAGACTTATATATCTGACAAAGTTAACTCAGCTTTAAATCATTTTTAAACAAGCAACATAGTAAAACTTCTTATGTTTATATGCTTCTAATTCAAAATAAAAAAAAAAAGGACGATAATATTGCACAAGTTGTTTAATGGAGTAGCCAGTCAGAACCTTGATGATCAGTAAGGTCAAAGGTCAAACTATCAAAACATGTTATAAAGTGTACAATTTAATAAATAAAACAAATATTTCCTTCATAACGCTTCTTTCAACAGTCAATAAGAACCACCCTGTGAGACATTTGGAGTGACCTTGAGAGATTGTACATGACCTTGTGAGTTATATACAGGGTGGTTTTGGAAGATGTACAAATACTGACTGGGACTTTGTAAATCTGTTGAATCATTGGTTCCATCACAAAAACCTGAGAATCTAAAAGAGATCGTGCCTATCATTGTAGTGTTTGTTGGTTCTACATCAAGTTTGTTTTATCCCTTCTCTTTCCTATTTGTTTTCTGCTACATTGACAGCCGAGGAATCAGGTGGTAATATTTTCTTCTGTCTATCAGTCTCCAAATTAACAAGCAATAGAAACTCACAAATCAAATAAGATCTTCCCATTGTATTCTAGGAAATAAATATAATAATTTGCATATACTTATTGGTAGCCATCGTGCAAATCACGATCTATTTGCAATCAAAGTTGGCCTCTGCTACGACTCGTTTATATGAGAAACAAAATATTTTTAATGTCAGACCACCAACAATATAATGACTTGTACAGCTTTTCATAGAATAAAATAAAAACTCACTTCAATGGAAAAGTGAAATTGTTCATCCTGTACTTACAATTCTGTACACTGTGTGAATCATGATTATAAAACACATCCCTCATTGATGACAAAACTTTTGGCAAGATGATTTAAAAATTATGATGTTTTTACCCAAATAAAAATAAAACAAAACCGCAAATAATAAAAAAAAATAATCAATACGTAAGAATTTTTTTTTTTTGTGGTTTAGATGAATTAGCAACTAGTGTAAAATGAAGAATACCTATACATGTATTTCAATATCTACGTAATATGCTATATATATATATATATATATATATAACTATCAATTAAGTGGTGATATGTGTTTTCTCTTATAGAACATCAATCTAATGGTATGGCACAATCATGATACAACATATGTACTGTAGAGTGAAGCAAGTCCACCATAACAAAGGCTGACCTCTTTGTGGAGACAATGAGATTGCTACTGTAATCAAGAATCATTTCAAATTGCCTGGAACCTCATCCTACCTTTAATCCACATCAACTTTGTCAATAGTTTAAGGAGCGCCACTAAATTCACATCACAGAAATTGAAGGGCAGGACTAGATAACAATACCTGGGTTCAAAGTTCATGACACAGGTAACAATACAAAGGATCAAAGGTCATTAACAACAGTAACATTAACTAGGTCAAATGTGTTTTATATCTTGTGTAGTATCTTCACACATTACTTAAATGTAACGACCTTTGTCAAGATCCTGAAAAACTGTATCCTTTGTAAAAACATGCATACTTTTATATATTGAAGTAAGGTCATGACCTTGACATAAGATTATAAATTAAACATAGATATTTCATACAAAATTAATTGCATTGCATACAACGAGCTGACAAAATAACAAAACAAGTTACAATTAAATAATACTTCAAAGGCATCGGACATATAATTAACGTGAAACAACATGAACAGGGAAGTGTTCTCCCAAGGTAGAGAATGTTAGAAAATGTGTTCACTTTACTAGTCACTCAGAGGTTTAAGGAGAAGGTAAATGCCCAATTTTCACTCTCAAGTCTTTAGATAAAGCTACCAACCTAATATAAACCAGTGACATGAAGAGCATGTAAATGTTTTCCGAATGGAAACAGTTCTGATCTTTACCATCACAGGGGACCACTTGTTTTATGGTATCATAAAGGTGGTCGGGTGGCGCAGTGGTAACGCACTCGCCTTTCACCTAGCCGACCGGGGTTCGATTCCCGGAAAGGACATGTAAAGGTAACGGGTCACCTGTCCGACCACGTTGGTTTTCCCCGGGTACTCCGGTTTCCTCCCACAAGAAGACCCCTCCCGCGCTAACATCCCGGCCAACAAGAGTGATTAGCATAAGTTGAAATAACATGTTTCGTAATTGTTGTAAAATAAATAAAGTTTATATATCATAAAGGAATTATTTTTTGTGAGAATATTTTCTCACTGACATTAATTGCCTCTTAAAGCAGATAACCTTAGGAAGCACAACTTCGTTTTTCAAAAATGGCTGACTTGACACTGGGGTTAAAATCTTTAAAACGTCTTTATCAAGACCCAAAGCTAATGTGAAAGATAAAATACATACTTTGTTATTTGTTGTTTTAAATGTAAACACAGGAACAGACCAAAACCCCAGTTATTCACTACTGAAACAAAGGAACTAAAATGCAAGACATGTTTCAGTCCCTCTTTCAGGTTTGAAAATACCAAGTAGACAAGATTTTTATGAACATGAAAACAGCAGTAGCATAATTTTTCTGGTAAATTTAGGAAAGAAAGCTTTGAAATTACTTGGGTGAAGACGAGTATTTTATTTTTTTAATCTCTTTACTAAACTCTATATAAATGATTACCTAGACATGGAAATACCTCAGACATAATAAACAAAACAAACCCATCATTTCTATACATCTAAAAAGGGCAATAAGGTTAATGCAATTTAATTCCAGGCCTCCCTTGAAACCACTGATATTGTCTTGTACCAGTTATATTTCTTGTCCTCTATTGTATCTAAAGCCAGTACAAATCAGCCAAGCTTGTATCCTCCAGCCATTCACCCCACCCACCTCCTTTTCTTTTTCCTCCACAAAACATCACTCATGAACATGATCCATTCTATTGTAATTAAGAAGTTAAAAATGTAAAAAAAAAAAAATCACCCATCACAGATTAAATAAAAAAAATTATCAAGACGGTTAAAGCCAAAAGAAAGGGTAACCATAGCAATTCTTGTTTCTTTATCAAATAAAATATTACCAATAATGGCTCTTAAAGTTTTCCAGTTCAGTTTTTTACTTTGTTTCAGAAAGTCTCTTGGGACCGAGCTTCCCTTACATTGGACAAGTCAGTACAGTTGGTCATTTAAGAGGGCGACATTGGTCAACAAACATCAACAATATCCCTCACTCTATAGCAAACTGGTGGCTGCAGCAACTGACACAGCATATAGATAAATAAATAGATTATCCGATAACTTTGATTCTATCATGACATTTACAATACCTCCCTGTATATCCTGAAAACTAATGCCGTTATTCGACATTAACAAGATCTCCCTGCATATCCTGACAATTAATGCCGTTCATCGGCATTTACAAGATCTCCCTGTATATTCTGATAACTAATGCCATGCTACAACATTTACAAGTACTCCTATATCCAATAATAACTGCCAAGCTTACTGGTTGTAGTACATTAAGTGGCAGCATACATATGGTATGTCAATATCACAAAATCAGTGAGTTTACATCCTCAATTTCTCACTTTCTTTTTCACCTCCTGCTTTATCTCAACAAGTTGCATCCTCAAGTAGATAAATATTTGAGTATTCTATATACATGCATGATCCGCTTTCAAGCCATTTCTGAGTCTGTCATTACTAACACATTGTATGGAGTATCTCAAGGCAAGCTGAAATGATGACAAGGGTCACCAAGAGGAATCCTGGTTGCCTTTCTCCAGAAACATGTCACTATGGTAACAACTTCCACACGCGCGATATCTTGTGACAAATCTCTTGAGACTATTATAATGGCTGTAGGCTGAACAGTTCAAATAAAATCACTGTACAACATTATAGAAATTGCAAAAGCTTTTTTGATCATGCAGCAAAACGGGGTCCATATTCTTCAAGGCCCTAAGTCTATATAACACAGAATACACCTGTTCTTACCTAAATCTACAATGGAATGTTCCAGTCTTTTTGAATGGGCAATGTGATTTGAGATATTATGTGTGAGAGGTTACAAAACAATGACATATCTACACAACATCACAACAGCACTTGTCATCTTCAGCTATGCTAGATTAAGTCACAACAGTTATCTCCCTTCATCAGCTAGAGTTGGTAGGGGGTGTGTATCCTGGTGGAAACTCCATTGACGGTGAATGTCGTACCTCCTTGTAGCAGGGTCGGCAGACAGGGACTGGTCGGCGAGAGTAATGACCAGGCAGAGGGATACTCTTAGCTATACATCTCATACAAAATACCTCACCACACTTCCAACAGTGAAACTGCAAGCATAAAAAAAGTCTCATTACAGCATATAAAACACCAGTCTCCTTACTACATATAAAACTCTCTTGTTACAGCATATAAAACACCAGTCTTGTTACAGCATATAAAACAACAGTCTTGTTACAGCATATAAAACAACAGTCTCATTATGTCTTGTGAAATCAACAGTCTTGTTACAGCATATAAAAAGTCTTGTTACAGCATATAGAACACCAGTCTTGTTACAGCATATAAACATCAGTCTTGCTACAGCATATAAAACACCAGTCTTGTTACAGCATATAAAACACCAGTCTTGTTACAGCATATAAAACACCAGTCTTGCTACAGCATATAAAACAACAGTCTTGTTACAGCATATAAAACACCAGTCTTGCTACAGCATATAAAACACCAGTCTTGCTACAGCATATAAAACACCAGTCTTGTTACAGGATATAAAACACCAGTCTCGCTACAGCATATAAAACACCAGTCTAGTTACAGCATATAAAACACCAGTCTTGTTACAGCATATAAAACACCAGTCTTGTTACAGCATATAAAACACCAGTCTTGTTACAGCATATAAAACACCAGTCTTGCTACAGCATATAAAACACCAGTCTTGTTACAGCATATAAAACACCAGTCTTGCTACAGCATATAAAACAACAGTCTTGTTACAGCATATAAAACCACAGTCTTGTTACATGTTAGATACTGGCTCTATAACCGTCAAAATCTATTTCCAAATCCTGCATTTAAAAAAATACGTGATATAATTCAAATGGCAGCAAGGCTCAAGGACTATCTTAAATGTCTTTCATTCCGCTGTCTTAAACATAAACTATAAATAACAAAGTGCAGTCATGTGATTAAGTACTTAATGATATACAAAGTTTCCCCCGAGTTCTAACAACTGTCACATTGTCAGCATTGATTAGGTATAAGCCATTTTCATAGATCTGTTTGACCAGTAGGTCCTGGATTGTTTATTTTTTTTAAGTAAAAGTGGCCCTACTGATTTTACATTTTTTTCTAATGAGCTTTGACTAAGTCTTTCAATGTCTGTATTACTTTCTGCTGGTTTATGCTTGTAATGTTTAAGTTTTTAAACATTTAAAGTGCCAACAAACTGGTTTGTCTACAAAGACGTACAAGCCATGGTCAAGTTTTGGAAATTTCAGAGATTTCTAGTTAACTTATTTTTGAATGATAAATCCGTCTCCATTGGAAATGAAATTACTTTTATTTTAGAAAATCAAGTGTAATATCTCCATTTTTTCTTATCTTTTCTCATTAGTATACCATACTACTACTAAGTTAAAGAAATAAAAGAAATATTAATTCTGAGTAAGTTGCATCCATACTGTCTATTATGATGTATATATACATTACACACATAACAGGAACCTGATATACAATCCCGTCAGAACATGCATATACATACAAACAGGTAGTTACAGCTGTTTATCTCAGGGCTGAATTCAGCCAATACAATATTACATAATATCACATGTGTAATTTGACCTGTTACGACCTTGGGCATTCATTATGAAATGACATTATACATTAAAGATTATATAGTGACTTAATAACAGAGACCTATCATATAAAACCAAACTGACTTCAAATCTGACCTGGAAATATTCATTTTCTATTACATTTTGACAGTTTGTGAATGAGTAATAAATCATGTGATAAAAAGAATCTTAAATTTGTTTCCATTCAACATACCGGTAATTTATAGAACTATTTACCAATTTTTTTATCTTAGCTTGCTAAAGGCTCGCTGAAATTAAAAATTCATAGATTTGTTTTTTAAGTCACAAATCAAACAGAAACTCATGTAAGATGCTAGATATTGTACACTACCATACTGAGTAATCACTGGTTATAATCCATTACACAGACATGCCTCCATCACCAAAAAAACAGGGGTATACAGGTGTCAGTGTACACAGTATAGTGAAGTATATTTCAATGCCAAGTTGCATATAGATGTAAATATTACGTGCATCAAAACTAAAAAGTGGGAAAACTTTATGATTCATAAGCAATTTATTAAACCGTTTATGGAACTGAGAGAAATAAATTTTGAGCAGGAAGAATTTTGGATATATCCACGGTATCAATTTTCAATACAGTGTTCTATTTTGACTTTGTATGCAGTACTTTTTTTTCAGCTATCAGGTATTATTATAAAACTGCCAAGAGACATCTTAATGACTTCAAACCTTCAGAATTTTGCAGAACATTTCATAAAGCATAATCATTTCCGTAATTTCGATACGGAAAATCTTATATTTAATGAAGTTAAAAAAATCGAAATTATTCACAATTTTAGTTTGATCATATTAACCATATAAGGAAACTAAAAAAGAAAACTTCAGCATTGCATAAAGCTTAAAAGCTAAAAACCTTAAAGCTGCACATTCATAAAAGATTCAATTAAACAAGACCTAGAAATGCCAGTATTGCCTTGATTATAATAAGTGTATGACCATGTTTCTGAGCAAATTTTCTTTATCGATGCAATTATATTAGATATAGATCTATATGGCAGCAGACATCTATACTATACAGGATATAAGATCTATTTAGTGGGGCGCTTGCCTTTTTAGTGAAGCAATCAAAGGGGGTAGCGCACGTGCAGGTGTGGACATGGCGAAAGGACTTCCAGTCAACAGCCACGCTTTGAAGCTCCAAGAGGAGCTGGTCCAGAGAAAGAGTCTCAGTACCCCCAGACAGCATGCTTGACTCCATGGTACCCACGCCCTCCTCTATACCTGACTTTGACATCTGGGAGGCGACCTCGTCCACGCCTGACTGTGACATGGTTGAGCTGACCTCATCGAACCCTGACTCATGGTCGCTCATGATGTGGTTCATCTTGTCCTTCTGGTCTTTGTGTGGTGATCCATCTGACTGTTGTGTTGAATCGTCTGAGCGTTGTGGAGAGTTATCAGGCGATGTCTGTAAGGACCCATTTATTGCCTGATTCTTCAACAAAGAGTCACAAAAAGCATTTATACACCCAGACATCAGTTTAACCTTACATTATCCATTAAACTGTATGTTAATAATATGCTAGTTCACAGATATTATTTTGATAGCTGAAAACTACAAATCTTTGTTCTGTACTCTATACAAATACATATATATATGCTCCTACTACAAGACATCTTTGATAAAAAAGCCAATACCTACGACATCTTTTGTCAGAAGGTCCATACATTCAACAATTTATCAGGTATCCTTCAAAACCTTTTATATAAAGGCTTACCTTGAAACTAAATAGAAAATGTCCCTATCTCGGACTGTTGTATTGTTAGGCCCTACCTTGGACACCTTTTGTGGAGGAGGCCCTTCTATGTGACCAGCCAGATAGCCATCTAGAGACTCCATTGACAAGAACCCATCCAGTTTTTTCTGTATTGTTTCTTCAGATTTCCCCAAAACTTTGCAGATCTGGGTAATTCTCTGCAAACAAAAAAATTCAATCACCATAGTATTAAATCCCCTTTTGTTCCTTCATCATATTACATGAACTAAATTTCCCTTTGTCCAATTTTTTTTTAGGGTAAGTGAAATTTCTATCCTTTTGGATAGAAAACAGTTATCTCATCCTCCTTATTATATATAATGTCCCACTCCTAACACAACCATGGTTACCTCCCTTTCCATGCTCCTAACATAAATATACCCTTTGTCACATTTTTATCATGATATTCATCTCCCCTCCCAATCCTTGTATTCAGCATTTTTACAGGCTTATCTTGCCTTCAATATCCTCACCATGGTTATCTCCCCTTTCCAATCCTTATCTTTTCTTCCAAGTTCTCACCATGGTTACCTCCCCTTTTTATTCTACTTCTTCGTTACCTTCGAAGCCTTATATTTCACAACAGTTTACAGAATCATCTTCTCTTCCCAATCCTCTCCATGGTTATCACTCTTTTCCGTTCTTCATCATGGTTATCTCCCTGAGCCATATATCTAACAATAGTTTACAGAATTATCTTCTCTTCGCTACCCTCATCATGGTTATCTTCCCTCCAATATCAATATCTTCTATTCCCAGTTATTACCAAAATTATCTCCTTGATGTTCCATTCCCAATCCTTACAATGGTTATCTCCCTTTTCCATTCTTCCTCATGGTTATCTCCGTAAACCTTACATTTATCAATAGTTTACATAATTATCTTCACTTCCATATCCTCACCATGGTTACCTCCCCTTCCCAATCCTTATCTTCTGCTAGTCCTCACCATTGTTATCTCCCTTTTCCATTTTTTATCATAGGTTTCTTCTTAAGTCTTATGTTAATGAATAGTTTACAAAATTATCTTCACTTCCATATCGTCACCATGGTTGTCTTACCTTTCCTATCCTTATCTTCTCCCTTTTCCATCATTCATAATGGTGATCTTCCCCAAGCCTTATATTCAAAAATAGTTTCAAAGATTATCTGCCCTTCCCAATCCTATCCACCTTTCACTATATTTACCTTCTCCAGGAGCCTGATGTGATCCTCCAGTGAGTCACTGTGGTCCTTTGCTGCCCCTAGGATGTCAGTTATGTGTTCCCTTGAATGGATTCCAGTCTCATAACGATTGTACATCCCTTTCCAAAACCTGGGTAAAGGAATTCAATTGTCATTTATGGATGCATTACAAAACAAATCTACAAAGGAGGTATGTAAAGTCTAATTAGGGACAAGGAGGTACGTAAAGTCTAATTAGGGGCCAAGCAGGTACGTAAAGTCTTATTAGGAGCCAAGCAGGTACGTAAAGTCTAATTAGAAGCTAAGCAGGTACGTAAAGTTTAATTAGAACCTAAGCAGGTACATAAAGTCTGAGCAGGTACATAAAGTCTGATAAGGAGTCAAGCAGGTACGTAAAGTCTGATTAGGAGCCAAGCAGGTACGTAAAGTCAGATAAGGACATATGTTATTAACAAACAGTGTCCTTATGGTTCATAATTGCTATATAACTTTTCAGAACAACACATCAATTTGTTTGTATAATAACGGTTTCATATAGTTTTTCTTGGGAATTAATCATAAATGTATATTTTGATCAAAGATTTGCAGTTCTTTTACAAAAACCGACAGTTTACAGGTTTCTCTACACAGGACACATCTCACTGTGACAGTTTACATGCCAAATAACAGAGCATAACTGATAAACTGAGAAATGGTTTGCCTACAACCTACCTTTTTTACAGATACTTATGTATAGCAGTAAGTTTCAACCTACATCATCAACCTGGGTATGTTAAAATTAAACAAAACATATTTAAACAATTAGGAGTCAGTTGTCTTATATCTGTTGTAAACAAGGTAAAATTCATGCTAGGGGGACTGGTTTATTTGCCTACCATTTGAATGAACATCTCTTACACTTAGGGCTGGTTTGCCTACCATTGCAGACTCAGACCTCACACATCGAGGGCTGGTTTGCCTACCATTGCAGACTCAGACCTCACACATTGAGGGCTGGTTTGCCTACCATTGCAAACTCAGACCTCACACATCGATGTTTGGTTTGCCTACCATTGCAGACTCAGACCTCACACATCGAGGGCTGGTTTGCCTACCATTGAAAAAGACATACCTCACACACTGAGGACTTGTATCTGGTACAACCACAGGGTGTTGTATTTCATATTCCTTCTTATACAGAGGGTTTAGAAACTCTGTCATATGTCGTGAGATGTAACCCCACAGAGAGTATGTCCTTTCTGACAGTCTGCAACAGAAATATATGATAATGATAGAATAATGGAGGAATAATCCTTTCATAAACACGCATGGAAATATGACTATAAAAATAATATTTGCATAATTTCTTTCCACATCGCATAAAAGAAAACAAATTGAAAATTGATTCATAGTGTGAAAAAGATGTTATGTCGAATACAATCCACACGTGAAATGTCTTGCCTCACCTTAAATCTATGCGGTCTTTTTCACAGTTGCCTATAAATGTACCAAACTGACAGGAGAATGAGTGGTCATGTATGGTGATGAGAAAGCGCTCATTGAATTGGAAAGCACATGGAAACTGCTGCATGATCTGCCACACACACTCAATGAACTGGGTGAAGACTGGTGACACTTCCTTTGGATCACCTGTTCCGAGGAACCCACACCTGTCCGTGAATTTGTGGCCAAAGGACAACCATTCCTTTTCAATCAGAGCCTGGGAAAATAATGATCACAAAACCACTCAGTGTTATATGTGCAAAAATCTCTGTAACAAGTGTTACCATAAATGCTAGAACTATCAGATATATGTACAGATGTAAGCATATTTTGTGTAAAAATATTCAGATAATAAAACCTCTTTGGATAAAATCTATCAACAGTTTCAATTATCAAAAGATATTTCATAAGGCATTTGCTTGAAAATCTATCCCCTCAGTAACATTTACCCTACAATGTATCCCCTCAGTAACATTTACCCTACAATTTATCCCCTCAGTAACATTTACCCTACAATGTATCCCCTCAGTAACATTTACCCTACAATTTATCCCTCAGTAACATTTACCCTACAATTTATCCCCTCAGTAACATTTACCCTACAATTTATCCCCTCAGTAACATTTACCCTACAATTTATCCCCTCAGTAACATTTACCCTACAATTTATCCCCTCAGTAACATTTACCCTACAATTTATCCCCTCAGTAACATTTACCCTACAATTTATCCCCTCAGTAACATTTACCCTACAATTTATCCCCTCAGTAACATTTACCCTACAATTTATCCCCTCAGTAACATTTACCCTACAATTTATCCCCTCAGTAACATTTACCCTACAATTTATCCCCTCAGTAACATTTACCCTACAATTTATCCCCTCAGTAACATTTACCCTACATTTTATCCCCTCAGTAACTTTTACACTACAATTTATCCCCTCAGTAACTTTTACCCTACAATTTATCCCCTCAGTAACATTTACCCTACAATTTATCCCCTCAGTAACATTTACCCTACAATTTATCCCCTCAGTAACATTTACCCTACAATTTATCCCCTCAGTAACATTTACCCTACAATTTATCCCCTCAGTAACATTTACAAAACAATTTATCCCCTCAGTAACATTTACAAAACAATTTATCCCCTCAGTAACATTTACCCTACAATTTATCCCCTCAGTAACATTTACCCTACAATTTATCCCCTCAGTAACATTTACCCTACAATGTATCCCCTCAGTAACATTTACCCTACAATGTATCCCCTCAGTAACATTTACCCTACAATTTATCCCCTCAGTAACATTTACCCTACAATTTATCCCCTCAGTAACATTTACCCTACAATTTATCCCCTCAGTAACATTTACCCTACAATTTATCCCCTCAGTAACATTTACCCTACAATTTATCCCCTCAGTAACATTTATCCCCTCAGTAACATTTACCCTACAATTTATCCCCTCAGTAACATTTTATCCCCTACCCTACAATTTATCCCCTCAGTAACATTTACCCTACAATTTATCCCCTCAGTAACATTTACCCTACAATTTATCCCCTCAGTAACATTTACCCTACAATTTATCCCCTCAGTAACATTTACCCTACAATTTATCCCCTCAGTAACATTTACCCTACAATGTATCCCCTCAGTAACATTTACCCTACAATTTATCCCCTCAGTAACATTTACTCTACAATTTATCCCCTCAGTAACATTTACCCTACAATTTATCCCCTCAGTAACATTTACCCTACAATTTATCCCCTCAGTAACATTTACCCTACAATTTATCCCCTCAGTAACATTTACAAAACATTTTATCCCCTCAGTAACATTTATCCTACAATCTATCCCCTCAGTAACATTTACCCTACAATTTATCCCCTCAGTAACATTTACTCTACAATTTATCCCCTCAGTAACATTTACCCTACAATTTATCCCCTCAGTAACATTTACCCTACAATTTATCCCCTCAGTAACATTTACCCTACAATTTATCCCCTCAGTAACATTTACCCTACAATGTATCCCCTCAGTAACATTTACCCTACAATTTATCCCCTCAGTAACATTTACCCTACAACCCGACATTGTACAAGTGATTAGTTGTATTATCTGCCTGGTACATTAGTATGGTGTACTGGTATTTGTTAATTACATACAGGATTATGAAGAAATATCTATTGTACTATTAACTACAGGGATTATCTGGAAATCATGTGATTACCTGTAAGCCATATAAAATTTACCTGTAAGTTACCTGTAAGTCTGTATGATTTACCCAAAAGTCTTAAAACACTCAAAACTATATATATATTGTAACGCTTTACTGTAAATTGTAAGATTTACCTGAAAAATTTTGTATTGTTTACCTGGAAAATATTATTTTTTACCTGGCAATTGCACACTTTACCTGGAAAATATTATTTTTTACCTGGCAATTGCACACTTTACCTGGAAAATATTATTTTTTACCTGGCAATTGCACACTTTACCTGGAAGCCTTGTATAGTGCGATAATATGGATCCAACATCAGGGAAGCGAGAGAGCAAGTCTGAGCTGTTCTATCCCATCCATCTGAACAGTGCACTAGAACACTGATGCCGTTACGTACCGCCTACAACCAAAAAAAAAAGCTGTACATGTAAGGGTGCTCCTGGCATCTTTATACACACATCTTTAGGGCTAACTGTCTAAGTACATCTGTAACAGGCTTTCTAATACTATCCACAAAGGATTTATGTACAATTTACTTATTCAAGTAGGTTGAGTCACTACTATGAATCAAATTATTCAAATGCTACAGCAGACCTATTTTCATGTAGCAGATATTTCTATTTTGAGATAAACAGTATACTTTGAAACTAAAGAAATGTTTACCGACAGATAGGTAGAAAAAAAATTGTAATGGGAAATCGCTCCATGAATGCAGAATTTTATACAATCATTTCAATACTGACATGTTCAAATTTCAATTTTTTTAAAGAAATAAAATAATTGATGAATGACTACACAAAAGTAGCTCCATGGGACAGGAACATGATTATGATGACTTACATTGACGATAAACACAGAGGTATCGATGACAGATTTGATGTGTTTCAGCCATCCACTAGCCTCTATACTTGAAAGGAATGAATTCATTGATGGATTCTTTAGCTCACAAACTGCAAAGAAACAGAAAATCTTTATATATTTTTATATATTTCTGATTAAACTAGTAAACTCTGCCATTTATTTATAGATTTTATCCTGATAAAACTTTATCTTTTAGTAAAGTCTGCCACCTGTTTACTGTAAATCACCTTTATTTCGTGTTGGTTTTCTTTTTGCTTAAATACATGAGCAGAGACAATCACGAATTCAAATCCCTCAAAATCATTTGAATGAAATTAAATGTTGATGACATCCATTTGGATTCTGTTACCAATATCAGACTCAATATATATAATAGTCCATCTTTTGTGAATTTAAAGTCATTTCTAGATCACCATTCTCAAAATCATGTATTCACAAATATGTCTGAAGAGGTAAGTTCTTAAAATAAAATTCTCATGAAATTTAAGTGATTTACAGTGTATATTTCAACCTGATAAAACTATCATCTATTTATATATTTTTACCTGAGAAAACTTTAAAGCTTAATCACGTTTAAACATTTGAAATACTCTACCATCTATTAATTTCTGTAAACCATTCCTCATCACGTGAATGTTTTCAATGCCCAAAAACTGGAACTTGATGTCGGAGTAAAAGTTCTCATTCTCGTAACCCTTCCCGGCAGCCTTATTTGCCATAGCGTTGATCTGTGGGGAAAACCATGAAATGCTAAGTAAGACTATTTATATCAAAACATTCTATAGAAATAAAAACTGTACAAAGGATATCATGATCATTAATTCTTCATTAATATCAAAATATAATCTACCTAAAATAGTTTGAAATTTACAGTTAACCCTGACCATTAAATGCTTGACCTTGGAAATGAATAGCAATTGACCTTTGAGGAGGAAAGTGATTGACCTTCAAATAAAATTTGTAGTTGATTATTAGTGTTTTGAGTGACTTTGAAAAGAGTTTGCAAATGACCTTATAGATTTAGGAGAGTATAAAAATTGATATTGAAAGGCAGGTTTTGACTAACATTTAAATCACATAGCATCCTTTATTAACTAACCTTAGGTCGTGTATCCACAACATACAGGAACTTAGAGGATGGATTTGCCCTCAAAATCGCATGGAGCATCTGTTCATCTTCAACACATCGTGCACTAAAGCCAGAGAGTGGCTGGCTACATCGACATATAGCCGCCTGGAGTAACAGACATCACAATCATCAAAACACACTCATGTACATATAGATAATCAAATCAAGTATTGGTCTGGTTTATCATCCTATCATGATCATTTTTGAGTGACTTGCTGGTGGCCACTCCACTGAACAACATACAGAAGGTCTGAAACATGCCATCTAGTGTAATTGCAATAAAATGCCCTACTTAATCATACAACCACAACACCACAGACCAGTCCATTTCTTAGCTTCTTGAGAAACATATTACCGCCCACAAGGAGCATCCAACGACACACCTCAGATTTTCATCCAAGAGTGGTGTAAGCCACTTAGTGACATTATCACAGCCACTATAACTGTAAAATGTAGTACGAGGATTCCCTCAATAACTAGTAGTAATCCAGGAATGATTAAGAGCGCAATGATTGGTATCCATATCAGTAATACATTACACGATGTTGTATCTACATTGTAGATTGAAACAGAGCAGAGAGCCAGTTTTTATTAACATTAATGGGTCACAACTCTAAATTAGATTTTTTTAAAAATTGTATAAGGAAGATGACCTGATTGTCTCGATGTAGGTAGGAGAGAGCTGGTAATCGTCCTCTACTTCTGAACTTGGAGCTGCCTACCAGGATAGGTGTGGTGGCTGTGACAGGAACATAAAGATCTCTGGGGTACGTGTCGCACAACTGTGGAGAGAAAGGAGACAAATGTGTCACTGGGTACTTGGCAAAATGGATGTACATTGTATTGTAATGTCAGGTCTAGTGAGCACCAGATATTCTAAAATAAAACAGATTTTCCGAGAAGGAGTCCCATAGGAAAGAAGAGAATCAAAGACTCCAATCCATGTTCCAAATGTTACTGAAGTAGTTTTTCCCTCTCAAAATTACTGACCTCCTTTTAAGAGGTTGTAATGCTCACCTCATACTCCTTGTTCATATTTGTGAGTACCCACAACTCATTAGGAATTCCCATCCTTAAGTACTCAGTCTGTGTGTCATACATGTCCCATCCATACGACTTCTGCACCGTCGGCAGAGAGAAGTGGAAAGCATATAATGCATCTATACTTGCTGAAAATGACAGAAAAATCTTATATTACAGAGACATCAAAGGAAATATTAAGTTATTGAAATATATTTTCCAATCAGTGACTTGCATTTTCAGTAAAATAATTCTACCTGATGTTATTTTATTTTGTTTTTCTGGTCATATTTTTTTTTAAATATATATTTTTTACAGTTATTCAATAAAGAAAAAATTAATGAATAATATGTACATTTGTTCTTTCTTTGATGTTAATGTGATTTCATGAAAAGAAAAAAATCAAAACTCCAAACAAAATTTTCAGAATAATTCAATAATAATAAAAATTTTGGTCTGAACAATATTTTTTAATACTTCAATTTTCTAACAATCAATAAACAAACTGACAATAGGTTTCTTACATCAATAACTGTCAGTAGTTATGAAACGATGCATGAATTACGAAGAACTTAATCACAAAGTCTAACCAAAGTGTAATGTATTAACAGTTTACTGGTTACGGCTCTGTAGGCTTATTATGTCATTATACGTGATATTTTGCTGACCTGGACGGGAGAGATTCACCAGTGATTCGTATATGTCCTGACATTCTCTATCTTTAGGTATAACAAACGTCACACAGCGGAAGTCTTTACATCGCAACTGTAAAGGTGATCCACCTGTCGTCAATGGCAGCCGATCAATAGCTGCTATGTGCATATGTAAAATCTGAAATAGTAAAAATTTGGATCAACTTAAATCACAAGTCAAAGATAAAGGTAAAACAAGATTTCAACTTTGGTATTTCATACTGAACATCTGATGAATGCTGATGTGAAGCAGGATAACCCCAAGCCTTACACACTCAACATCAAGCATCAAACATTCCAAAGCTCTTGTTAACAACGAACAATGAATTAAAACTTCCTTTTGACATCATCAGCCCTCAACTATACACTCTCACACATTACACTCTGTATTTACCAGCCCTCCACTACATACTCTCACACATTACACTCTGTATTTACCAGCCCTCCACTACATACTCTCACACATTACACTCTGTATTTACCAGCCCTCCACTACATACTCTCACACATTACACTCTGTATTTACCAGCCCTCCACTACATACTCTCACACATTACACTCTGTATTTACCAACCCTCCACTACATACTCTCACACATTACACTCTGTATTTACCAGCCCTCCACTACATACTCTCACACATTACACTCTGTATTTACCAGCCCTCCACTATATACTCTCACACATTACACTCTGTATTTACCAGCCCTCCACTACATACTCTCACACATTACACTCTGTATTTACCAGCCCTCCACTGTATACTCTCACACATTACACTCTGTATTTACCAGCCCTCCACTGTATACTCTCACACATTACACTCTGTATTTACCAGCCCTCCACTTTATACTCTCACACATTACACTCTGTATTTACCAGCCCTCCACTATATACTCTCATACATTACACTCTGTATTTACCAGCCCTCCACTATATACTCTCACACATTACACTCTGTATCTACCAGCCCTCCACTTTATACTCTCACACATTACACTCTGTATTTACCAGCCCTCCACTATATCCTCTCACACATTACACTCTGTATTTACCAGCCCTCCACTATATACTCTCACACATTACACTCTGTATTTACCAGCCCTCCACTGTATACTCTCACACATTACACTCTGTATTTACCAGCCCTCCACTACATCCTCCCACACATTACACTCTGTATTTACCAGCCCTCCACTATATACTCTCATACATTACACTCTGTATTTACCAGCCCTCCACTATATACTCTCACACATTACACTCTGTATTTACCAGCCCTCCACTATATCCTCTCACACATTACACTCTGTATTTACCAGCCCTCCACTGTATACTCTCACACATTACACTCTGTATTTACCAGCCCTCCACTGTATACTCTCACACATTACACTCTGTATTTACCAGCCCTCCACTGTATACTCTCACACATTACACTCTGTATATACCAGCCCTCCACTACATACTCTCACACATTACACTCTGTATTTGCTAGTCAATTATTTTGAATATACCTCCAAGCTGAAACTCAACATAACAATCATTGTCTTCATCCCTTGATAACCCCTAAAAAAAACCATGCTCAACCCTACCCAAACACAACATTGCCTTTCCCTTCTGATCCCTTATCTAAACCATTCACCCCTTTTCCCCATACTTTTCTTCCAATACTAATCAAACCAAACCTTTCCTGTTAATCCTTGATTAAAGAAAAGACAATGAAAAATGACACTTGCAGTGGGGATAATGACACTCTTTCAGAGATAATTGTTCAATTTAATCGTGACAATCTTGCGCCAAAATGGCTCATCATTATAGAATGATTCTTTCATTGATTTTCAACTTTAATCAATTGACTGTGTGTAACATCAAAGTATTTAGCACCATAATTGCTACACCTGTAGCATGCATGGAGCCACTTTCTCAATGCTACATTGATTCAATATTCTTCAGCATTGATCTCCTGCCAGGGGATTGTGTTGTATCAAACAGACAACTGAGCCACTATGCAGTTTTTTACGGACATTCCATCACGAGTTGAGAATGTCATTTCAGTACAAAACTCTTTGAGGTAACTACAGAAGGAAAAAAAAAAGAATTCTCAAAAAATCAATTTTGTATGACTTCCAGCGGAGGTTATTATCTCTATATTACATACAGCAGTAATGATTCTTAAAACATTTTGTCTGTCGAGCTCTCTGAGGACTAATTCTTACAGACAGCCAATTTATTAGCGTAAACGACCATGGTTTCAGGTGGGACAAGGAATTAAATAAATTTCTACGATTTCAAGATGCTTTCGATAATGTACATTTTGTTGTGTTCTTATTCTACGTATAAACTGAAGAACACCTTCATGTCTTGTGAACTACTGGAATTCAGCCTTACTAAATTTTATTCTCTTAACAAAAATGTCTTAAGATTTATTGAGATCTACCTAAATCGCTGAAAACAGATCCCTAATGAACCCTAATCTTCATCACTATCACTACTAACCTGCCCCGTCACATATCGAATTGTGAGGACGGTGCAATATCATACAAAACCTAGTATCACAACAAGTCATTATTAATTCAGACTCACGTTCGCTGTTAGACAATCTACACCTAAATATACCTTAACGACCAAGAGATTTTACGACACTTCATCTTTGGATCCCATCATCGGACAGGCTGAAACTTAAAATGTCGATGAGCAGACAGAATAACTAGATGTTATAATCATTTCTTAATTCCTATTTGATAAATTTTTTCTTTGTGACTTTGTCAAACTTTTTTATGAATCAGATTGTTTATACACGACAACATACCCATACTTCCCGTTTCCCAGCAGCATCCACAAAGATGAGATGTGTGGTAGTCAGATAAAGTGTGCCCGCTGAAGACTGTCGCGCTTTGTAGCGTTCAACCAACTTGACATTGTCAACCTGTAAATAGAGTAAAACACTGATCTTTATATTTCATTAAATATAACATTTCCAAATCACTTGTCAAATATGTTGGTAACTCCTGGAAAGATACTAACTCAGTCAAATGTAGGTGTTTACTTTAATGAAAGCTTATATCTTGATATCATTACAGGAAACTGCAAACTACAACATACTTTTAAATATCTTTTTAGATAAAATGAATAACAACTGAACTTTTTTTTCTTCTGAGATTTTGGGATCTAGTATGCCATTTTTCCTGTGATCTAGGGATCTAGGGATCATACTAGGAACCTGTCAGTCAAATATCATGTTTCTGGCTCTTTTGGTTAGTCAAATGAAGTCATTAAAAGTTTTATAACAAATTTGACCCCTGTGACTTTGAATAAAGATTAAAGTAATTTCTTTTTCCAAATTCCTAAGGCTTCATCTAAGGAACCTGTCAGTCAAATACCATTCTTCTGCATATGTAACAAGCAGTATCATTTAAACACAAAACAATGTTTACATTTAGCAAGCACCACAGTCTCCATCAGCATCAGGGGGCAAACTCCCACAATCTCCATCTATGAGCAAACTCCCTAAATTGCCACCCGAGGGCAAACTCTCACAATTTCCACTGGTGGGCAAACTCCCACAATCTCCACATGTGGGCAAACTCCAACAATCTCCAGCTGTGGGAAAACTCCAAAAATTGCCACCCGTGGGCAAACTCCCACAATCTCCACATGTGGGCAAACTCCAACAATCTCCAGCTGTGGGAAAACTCCAAAAATTGCCACCCGTGGGCAAACTCCCACAATCTCCACATGTGGGCAAACTCCCACAATCCCCACTGGTGGGCAAACTCCCACAATCTTCAGCTGTGGGCAAATTCCCAAAATTGTCACCTGTGGGCAAACTCTCATAATTTCCACATGTGGGCAAACTCCCGCAATCCCAACCCATTGGCAAACTCCCATAATCTCCACCCTTGGCCAAACTCCCACGATCTCCACCCCTGGGCAAACTCTCATGATCTCCAACCCTGGGCAAACTCTCACGATATCCACCCCTGGGCAAACTCTAACAATCTACACCCCTGGGCATACTCCCACAATCTCAACAAGTGGGCATACTCCCAATGGGTCCACTAGTCACATATTCCCACAATCTGTACTGGGGAATATGCTTTTACAATTTCTACAAGAAGGCAAACTCCCACAGGGTCCACTAGTCACATATTCCCACAATCTGTACTGGGGAATATGCTTTTACAATTTCTACAAGAAGGCAAACTCCCACAGGGTCCACTAATCACATATTCCCACAATCTGTACCTGGGAATATGCTTTTACAATTTCTAGAAGTGGGCAAACTCCCACAGGGTCCACTAGTCACATATTCCCACAATCTGTACTGGGGAATATGCTTTTACAATTTCTACAAGAGGGCAAACTCCCACAGGGTCCACTAGTCACATATTCCCACAATCTGTACTTGGGAATATGCTTTTACAATTTCTAGAAGTGGGATTACTCCCACATTTCTCTCTCCACCATGTGGTATTATCACAATCTCTTGCTGCCAGAAGCTAATTACTTCTACAATCCCCATAAAACACTGTCCATAATGACCGTAACACAGAAGACGTGAACACCTACTTAAGAAGTTGCAGATATATAATAATATTTTTTCTTACAGTACCTTTACCGAAAATTTGATTTTCCTTCATTTTACAAATGTCCGAAACTGTGAGATCATTACAAAGAGTTCTATGGATATTCTTAAGTAATTAACCGTCTGACAAAACACTCTCTCAAGATTGAAAGTCAATGGGTAGTCTCTAGGAAGTAATTTGCTAAGACGCCTCAGGTTCTAGACAGACTGCTACAGTACACATATGGCTGGTTGATCACAGCTTCAACATTTGTTAAAATTGTACCATCAATGTCGGTAGTTGAGATTCATGTCCTAGACCAATAGGTGACAATTTCAATGACTAGTCAACTTGTCACGTCATTCATTCTCTCTGGGGGAAAGCTTCATCAATCAGAACTTCTAGACATATTGTGATAGTGTCAGTGGCTGAGGTGAACAAGCTACCTAACTTGTGTCATTTATTATACCAATGATTAATATCTACCGGGTCCAATATTCAATCTACTTGGTTCGTGCGTCAGTCTCAGCATACTTCAGCTAACTCAGCTTCTAGACGATTACGACTATCAATTTGTCTTGTGTGACAATATTTTGCTGAATATTAAATACTTCAGTGTGGTATTTTTTGCCTCAGGCACACTAACTATTAGATAATGTGTTTTATGTAACCAGTCAATAATCCAGGGTGAGGTAAAATCTATAGCCACACAGTTTGATATACAGCACAATGGATTACGAGATAGGCGACCAGTTTTATCTTAACGCTGTGATTCCCATTATAAAGCCAGCTTTTACACCATGATGCCATTTCTTTTACAGAACTAGTAATAAATTTACATTAAAAATGTTCCAAAGACCCAAAGCCTCCCACTATAGGAATCTCTAATTGAAAGTCACACTGATCTATGTCACTGAGACACTCTGACTTCAGAAATCTCTTACAGACTATGACATTCATCTTGATCACTGTGGAGCTTTTGACTAAAAGGATTCTCTTAATGACAAGTGATACTCATCTAGATCACTTAGAAGCTCTTACTGTGGGAATCTCTTACTTTGTGACATTCATCTTGGTCACTGTGGAGCTTTTACTTAAAGGGAATCTCCTAATGATGGTAACACTCATCTAGATGGCTTAGAAGCTCTTACTGTGGGAATCTCTTACTTTGTGACATTCATCTAGGCTATTATGAATTACAAGGGAATTTCTTAAAAGACAGTGACACTCATCTACTGGTTACTAAGAAGCACCAACTATGTAAGTGAATCTCTTACTGATTGTAAAACTTGTCTTGGTCACTGAAAAGCTTCACTTACTGGTAGACAAGGCTTACAGGGAGTAGGATTCGGTGTCCTTGACAGTAGGGACTAACCCAATATATTGAACAGTCGTGCTGGCGGAATCAACTTAATGGTTATTCTAAAATAAATGGAGGGATACATTAAAAGATAAGGTGTTCTCAGATTTCTGACAACAATGGTCTAAATCTGGAACTCACTCAACAAACTGATACATATAATCCATTTTCAGTTCAATTGCTTGTGCTTTTTGGAAACGCTGACCTGGTTATTTCCAGCCTTGCATCTGTACATCACCATCATTATGTTCCACTTCAGTTCTATTCTATGTAGATTTTAGATATTACCCGATCAGATTGATACAAACTGCAAAAACAGTTTGCTACATCACATCATATACTGTTTTTTTGTCTTGCGGTTAACTGTTTCTGAACTCTATCTGGGTTTTGTTTTTACAGCTGACCATCAACGACCTTTGTTGGATTTCCATACTTGTCATAAAGTAGCTGCCATAAACAGCTCTTGTCTGTTTCGGGTACAAGAAAGAGATCTCGATATATATGCAAATTTGACACAAATGCTTTGTTTCATTAATCAAACGATATCTGCCTCAAGCCAAACAAAGCAAATTATCATATATAAATGATGTTCTTACAATCCTGAAATTGATTTTCAAACTGACATCAAACTGCCTGCCATTCCCTCGGGTGTTGGAGCTATGCTAGCTGACACAACACTAAGACATCTGTAGACACTGCTCACCATCCTGCTGGAAGCCTATATAGCCTAGCCTCAGTCTTCCACCACAAATCACAATGACCTTTACCACAACAGGTTTAAATAACATTTTTTGTCATGCAATAATGGACTTATGTTTGATTTTCAATAATTTTGATTTTTGTTAAATCAAGATATATACATTGGGAGAACACATACTCACAGTACTGGTTATTTACCGAGGGAGAACACATACTAACAGTACTGATTATTTACCAAGGGAGGACACATACTAACAGTACTGATTATTTACCAAGGGAGGACACATACTCACAGTACTGGTTATTTACCAAGGGAGAACACATACTCACAGTAAAGATTATTTACCAAGGGAGAACACATACAGTACTGATTATTTACCAAGGGAGAACACATACAGTACTGATTATTTACCAAGGGAGAACACATACTCACAGTACAGATTTTACCAAGGGAGAACACATACAGTACTGATTATTTACCGAGGGAGAACACATACTAACAGTACTGATTATTTACCAAGGGAGGACACATACTCACAGTACTGGTTATTTACCAAGGGAGAACACATACAGTACTGATTATTTACCAAGGGAGAACACATACTCACAGTACTGATTATTTACCAAGCGAGAACACATACAGTACTGATTATTTACCAAGGGAGAACACATACTCACAGTACAGATTATTTACCAAGGGAGAACACATACTCACAGTACAGATTATTTACCAAGGGAGAACACATACTCACAGTACTGGTTATTTACCGAGGGAGAACACATACTCACAGTACTGGTTATTTACCGAGGGAGATCACATACTCACAGTACAGATTATTTACCAATGGAGGACACATACTCACAGTACTGGTTATTTACCAAGGGAGAACACATACTCACAGTACAGATTATTTACCAAGGGAGAACACATACTAACAGTACTGATTATTTACCAAGGGAGAACACATACTCACAGTACAGATTATTTACCGAGGGAGAACACATACTCACAGTACTGGTTATTTACCAAGGGAGAACACATACTCACAGTACTGGTTATTTACCGAGGGAGATCACATACTCACAGTACTGGTTATTTACCAAGGGAGAACACATACTAACAGTACTGATTATTTACCAAGGGAGGACACATACTCACAGTACTGGTTATTTACCAAGGGAGAACACATACTAACAGTACTGATTATTTACCAAGGGAGAACACATACTCACAGTACAGATTATTTAAGAAGGGAGGACAGAGTTATAGTAGACAAGAGGCCCAATGGGCCTGCAGTACTT